CACTCGTCCTCGCCATTCTGGAGGAGTACCGTCCCAACAAACCCAACACTGGCAACGTCGCCAAGTACCTGCGACCGGTGCTCCGCAAGATGGCTGAGCTCGAGTCTCGCCAGACCGCCAAGGTGTCTCTCAAGGCACGCGAGATCCTCATCCAGTGCGCACTTCCGTCTCTCGAGGAGAGAACCGCCCAGATGGAGCACATCCTTCGCTCCTCGGTTGTCGAGTCTCGCTACGGCGAGACGGGCTGGGACCACCGTGAGCCAAGCCTGGATGTCATCAAGGAGGTTGTTGACTCCAAGTACACCGTCTTCGATGTCCTGACGTCCTTCTTTGCCCACGAGGACCCCTGGGTGTCTCTGGCAGCCCTCGAGGTCTATGTTCGTCGGGCATACAGGGCCTACATGCTCAAGAAGATTGAGTACCACACCGATGAGACGGACACCCCCTCTTTCGTGTCCTGGGACTTTGCCCTTCGCAAGATTGGCCAATCTGAATTCGGCCTGCCGCTGCAGTCCGCCATTGCCTCGTCCCCTGCCACTCCCATCGACAGCAGCTTCAAGCGCATTCACTCAATCAGCGACATGTCTTACCTCACCCAAAAGACATCCGAGGAACCCATCCGCAAGGGTGTCATCGTTCCTTGCAAGTATCTTGACGATGCCGAGGACTTGCTCTCAAAGGCCCTTGAGACCCTGCCCATCGGCGGAGGCTTGAAGAAGAAGAGCCCCAGTGGCATCATTCCTGACCTCAGCGGGAAGCGCCGCCCTGCCGTGCCTCCCAAGCTAGCCGACATTGACGAGCTCTCTGCTGTTGTCAATGTTGCCATTCGCGACGCCGAGGGCCGCAGTGATGACGAGGTCCTCAAAGACATCCTTCCCCTTGTGCATCAGTTCAAGGATGAGCTGTTCGCCCGCCGCGTCCGCCGTCTCACCTTTGTGTGTGGCCGCAACGATGGATCGTACCCCGGCTACTACACCTTCCGTGGGCCCGAGTACATTGAGGACGACAGCATTCGTCACATCGAGCCCGCCTTGGCCTTCCAGCTCGAACTCGGAAGACTCTCCAAGTTCAAGATCAAGCCTGTCTTTACTGAAAACAAGAACATCCACGTCTACGAGGCTGTTGGCAAGGGCGTTGAGACTGACAAGCGCTACTTCACTCGTGCCGTCATCAGGCCCGGCCGCCTGCGGGACGATATCCCCACAGCTGAGTACCTAATCTCGGAGGCCGATCGTGTCATCAACGACATCTTTGACGCTCTTGAGATCATCGGCAACAACAACTCGGATCTCAACCACATGTTCATCAACTTCACTCCTGTGTTCCAGCTTCAGCCCCAAGAGGTTGAGCACTCGCTGCAGGGTTTCCTTGATCGTTTCGGTGCCCGCGCCTGGCGTCTGCGTGTTGCTCAGGGTGAAATCCGCATCATCTGCACCGACCCTGTCACTGGCATGCCCTACCCGCTGCGTGTTATCATCACCAACACCTCGGGCTATGTCATCCAGGTCGAGATGTACGCCGAGCGCAAGTCTGAGAAGGGCGAATGGGTGTTCCACTCTATTGGAGGTACCACCAAGATCGGCTCGATGCACCTGCTCCCCGTGTCGTCACCTTACCCGACCAAAAACTGGCTCCAGCCCAAGCGTTACAAGGCCCATCTGATGGGCACCCAGTTCGTCTACGATTTCCCTGAGCTCTTCCGCCAGGCTATCCAAAACAGCTGGGTCAAGGCTGCCAAGAAGCACCCCGCTCTGGCGGACAAGCAGCCACCTGTTGGCGAGTGCATTGACTTCAACGAGCTTGTCCTTGACGACCAGGACAACCTCGCCGAGGTGTCCCGCGATCCGGGTACCAACACTTGCGGCATGGTTGGCTGGCTCATTCACGCACGCACCCCTGAGTATCCCAAGGGCCGCAAGTTTGTTGTTGTCGCCAACGACATCACCTTCAACATCGGCTCGTTTGGTCCCAAGGAAGACAACTTCTTCTTTAAGTGCACGGAGCTGGCCCGTAAGTTGGGTATCCCGCGCATCTACCTGTCGGCCAACTCCGGTGCTCGTCTCGGCCTTGCTAATGAGCTGATGCCTCACTTCAACGTCGCTTGGAACGAGCCCGGCAAGCCCGAGGTTGGCTTCAAGTACCTCTACCTGACCGATGAGGCCAAGACCCGTTTCGAGAACGAGGTCATCACTGAGGAAGTTGTCGAGGATGGTGAGAAGCGTCACAAGATCACCACTATCGTTGGTGCTGAGGATGGTCTCGGTGTCGAGTGCTTGCGCGGCTCTGGTCTCATTGCTGGCGCCACCAGCAGGGCTTACAACGACATCTTCACTTGCACGCTCGTCACCTGCCGCTCAGTCGGTAAGTTCTCCCTCATCTCTCCCACTTACCGGATGCTAACTTTACTCAGGTATCGGTGCTTACCTCGTCCGCCTTGGTCAGCGTGCGGTCCAGATTGAGGGCCAGCCGATCATCCTCACTGGTGCACCTGCCCTTAACAACCTGCTCGGCCGCGAGGTTTACACCTCCAACCTGCAACTTGGTGGCACCCAGATCATGTACCGCAACGGTGTGTCTCACTTGACTGCCAACGACGACTTCGCCGGTGTGTCCAAGATTGTTGAGTGGATGTCCTTCGTTCCCGACAAGCGTAACAACCCGGTGCCCATCAGCCCCAGTGTCGACACCTGGGACCGCGACGTCAGCTACATGCCTCCTCAGAAGCAGCCCTATGATGTCAGGTGGATGATTGCCGGCAAGGACGATGAGGACGGCTTCCAGGCTGGTCTCTTCGACAAGGACTCCTTTGTCGAGACACTCGGCGGATGGGCCCGCACCGTTGTCGTCGGCCGCGCCCGCCTCGGTGGCATCCCCATGGGTGTCATCGGCGTCGAGACTCGCTCGGTCGAGAACATCACCCCTGCCGATCCTGCGAACCCCGACTCTATCGAGCAGCTGAGCAACGAGGCTGGCGGTGTCTGGTACCCCAACTCCGCCTTCAAGACTGCCCAGGCCATCAACGACTTCAACCATGGTGAGCAGCTTCCGCTCATGATCCTCGCCAACTGGCGTGGTTTCTCTGGTGGTCAGCGCGACATGTACAACGAGGTCCTCAAGTACGGTTCTTACATCGTGGATGCCCTCGTCAAGTTTGAGCAGCCTGTCTTCATTTACATTCCTCCCTTCGGCGAGCTCCGCGGTGGCTCTTGGGTCGTCGTCGACCCAACCATCAACCCCACTGCCATGGAGATGTACGCCGACGTCGAGGCTCGCGGTGGTGTCTTGGAGCCCGAGGGTATCATCGGTATCAAGTACCGCAAGGACAAGCAGCTTGAGACGATGGCCCGTCTTGACCCGATCTACGCCGATCTCAAGAAGCAGATCACCAACACCAGCCTCTCCAAGGAGGAGATCGACTCGGTCAAGAAGCAGATGACTGTTCGCGAGCAGCAGCTTCTGCCCGTCTATGCCCAGATCAGCCTCCAGTTCGCCGATCTCCACGATCGTGCTGGACGTATGAAGGCCAAGGGTGTCATCCGTGAGGTCCTCGAGTGGAAGAATGCCCGCCGCTTCTTCTACTGGCGTGTGCGCAGAAGGTTGAACGAGGAGTACATCCTCCGCCGCATCGCCGCCTCCACCACGGCTGCTGGTATCCACCACAAGGCCACCACTGCTGCCACCTCGCCCCAGACGCGCACCCGTCATTTGCGACAGCTCGAGGCTTGGTGTAACATCCCGAACTTCGACAAGGCCGATCGGGAGGTTGCCATCTGGTACGAGGAGAACCGCAAGCTTGTTACTGACAAGGTTGAGGCGCTCAAGGCGGAAGCAATCACTGCGGAGATGCGCGACCTTATCCGCGTCGGCACGACTGCAAGCAAGGACCCGGCCGAGGGATCCGCATGGAAGGGTGTCCGGGAGATGCTGCGGGTGATGCCCGTGGACGAGAGGGAGAAGGTGCTCAAGTACCTTAAGCAGATATAAACTTGGTGGGATATATATGGTAAAAGGAGGAGGGAAATGGTGTTTGTGGGTTCTCGGCATATATGACATAGCTGGATTGGAGGATCTGGTTTTGGGACGAGCTCTTGCAATGTGAAGCTTGGCATGAAATGATTCGAACTGCTTTAGAACATCCGGTATTGCGGCGTTGGGATGACACTGTTCACGATTGCGAGCGATTGTTTTACACATGTTCTGATAATCTGAGGCTAGAACAAGATAACTTCTACATCTTCATCTCATTGCCCAATGCACATGCCTGGCGATTCTGTCGTCACCTTTTCTGACACAGGCAAAAATGTGATTACGTCATCCTCTTTAGATGGAGAGCAAAAAGATGATCGAACCCAGGATTGAACTGGGGACCTTCAGTGTGTTAGACTGACGTGATAACCAACTACACCATCCGACCAATTGTTGTTTGTTCCGCCCGATACAGCCTCTCTTGAATTTGCGAGCCGCAGCCGTGCTCGGCTCATTCACCGCCCCCCACAACGCCCCGGGTTCCGAAGGCCGACCCGGAACCCGCCGGGCCATGCAGTTCTCGAATGACGAGCAGTTCCGATGAAATCTTCTAACTAGGCACACAGCATGCACGAGATCAACTAGCTCAGGTTTATCTCACTCGCCAGCCGAATACAACTCTGGATGAGCACTGGAAGTCTGGAAGGCACAACCGAGCCAGCCCAGCAATCTATCCCAGCCAGACGGCCAACATACTTTGCCCCCAAGGAAAACAGTTCCAAAAAAAAAACACGCCCAACCCCGATCATCATTCTCTCCCGCCGGGAATTGAACCCGGGTCTCAAGCGAAGTCGCCTCCCTTCAAGGAATGTCGTTCATCAAGCTGGAGCAAGACGAAGTCGTTCATGGTTCAAGAGGAAGTCTTTTTTTCATGAATGAGAAAGTGACAAGCTCACATACTGGACACTATACTACGGAAGACTGTGTTGGTGTTTTTGCCACCGACGGTAGTTCGGGTCAGGGTGTCTGGGAGTCTCGGAAACGGGGGATCGAACCCCGGGCTGCTGAGGACTCAGGGTCGAACTTGAGAGTCAGCGATGTTGGCCACTTCACCATATCCGATTCGGTTGTTGAGAGGTGGAGGGGGAGGGGGTTATGTGGTGGGTGGGTGAGGGTGAGGAATGGAGAAGGCAAGGAGGTCAGGGGTTGGCTGGGAGGTTTCACTTTGAGGCCCACAGTTTTTGGATTGGGTTGAGTTGGCCGAAGATTGAATTGGTTCCGATGGCAGTGGTCGGAGGCGCAGAGAGCTCCGACAATCTCAAAAAGAACCTTGACGGCTGCACTCATCTGATCGGTTGCGAGGACTTTCACAATGTTGGACAAGGTGATCACACCGAGGAGCCTCAGCTCGATTTCTCTTTGTGTTGGAGGCTCGAGGCTCCTGCCGTTTCCTTCTGAGGGCAGCATCTGGTTGGTCCTCCCTGTGTGGGTCATTTCGGGGCCTGACTCCGCGACAGGTGGGTGCTCCGCTCTCAACGTCCCTGTTGACTCCACCATTCCTCCATTTCCTCCATCTTGATTCTCTCCCATCACACCCAGCGCCCGCACCGAAAGGGGACCTTCCGGGCACCTCTTTCAACAAATAACAAGCGTCAGTGGTTTAGTGGTAAAATCCATCGTTGCCATCGATGGGCTCCGCGTTGGATTCGCGGCTGACGCATCGGTGATGGCTTCACAGCAATCATCGACGCCCGCTTGGCTCAGTGGTGGAGCGTATCACTAGTAATGACAAGGTCGTCAGTTCAATTCTGGCAGTGACCATCCAACATTTCCTTTTGCATCCGACATCGAGCCACATGCACGGTCTGGCTGGAAAACATCACCCGAGACGAAGCTGATCAGCCTGGCGTTGGTTCGCCGGTTTGCAAGCCTCTGCCCTCCCCGAAGACCTTCGGTCTCTTGCTAGCGCGCAGTTTGCAGTATCAGAGCTAACTGCGCGCATTTGGGATTTGCAGTTGAGGCTCTTCGGTTGGTTTTGGTGCACCGAGCCAGACGCATGCATCCATCCATCACATCGGCAACCCGCGACGCTGGAAACTGGTGGCGCTAGCCACGTGCAGTGGCGTTTTTTGGCATACGCCATTTGCCAGGGAGCTTCCGATACTGGACGCCAGCTACCTTCGCGGTGATCGAGCGATACAAGTTCCAACCCGGCATGACCCCCTATTCGACAGGCGAGCCGTCGACGTTGCTTATTCTTCCCCCCCTGGCCCTCCCCCAACACCCTGCCGCAGTGGCTGCCTCTCTGGTGCCCTCTTCGCCAACACGCCCCCTCTGAGAAACAAAATGACCAAGGGGCTCAGCCGGGCGCTGACGGGGGATGAGAATGGGACCAGGCCTCCCAGCAGCCCCCACGAGAGGGTCACCATTGACCTTAACCTCGTCGGCTCGCCGGGCGTGGTCACACAAGTCTACCCTTCTGTTCGGAGATCGGACTCGATGACCACGTCACCTGGAGCGATAATGTCGTCTGTCATGCCCAGCTGAGCAGGGATTCATGGGAAAAGTTGACAAAGAGGTCGAATCTGATGGCATATAAACCGACCTTCCTCATCACCCATGCAGCCACTGAGCACCCTCAACCAAAGCACAACTTCAGACATCGACCGACAAGCAACGACTCCTCTACATTTGAATTAGGACTCCAGCGTCGTCAGCTTTGCCATGTCTTCGTCGAAAGCCCACCGCGACCGTCACTCTTCCTCCCGGAGTCACAAGATCTCCAAGTCCTCCTCTGGTGGCTCGAGCAGCCGCGCTTCGGGACACAAAAGTTCCAAGTCCTCCGAGACCCAGTCTGGTGTCAGCTGCAAAGTTTCGATCAAGGTCGAGCCCCCGGTAATGGCCACTTTTAGCACTCCGCTCTACCCTTCCATTGTGGCCAAGGCCAAGTTCCACGGCCTTCCGAGCGATCAGGTCTGCTATACATACGCCCATGCTGTCCTCGTCGACGCTGCTGGCCAAACCTTGGACAACCAACTAGGAAACAACGTTGTCGCGACTGGTGTTTTCTTGGAGGAGACCAGCTATACGGGTGGCAGCGGCGGCGGCGGCAGCGGTAGTGGCAGTGGCAGCGGTTCCAGCAACCGCAAGGGGTCTACCGAGCTCTACTACATCTTCCCGCATCTTCAGGTTCCGATACTCGGCGATTTCTTGATCCGCATCGACGTCCATCACTGCCTCCTTGTCCACAACGGCAGTTCCCTGATGGGCCAGGCCGAAACGAGGAACATCACTGTCGTTGAGGAAGTCTGCGCTCAAGAGTGGGGATGTAAGTATCTTCCAATTATCCGCTCATTTTGCATCCTGCTGATACTGACTCTCTGTAGCTCAAGAAGAACGATGGATTCTCCAATGCTTCCGCAACCAGGGAGAAAATGTTCCCCAGGAACCACAGCCACACTAACGGTACCATTAGCAGGCTGCGCTCCTCCTCGGTTCGACTTTTTGCTAGGTCTACTCGCCGCCAACGGAATACATGCTCCTTTTAGGGTCACGGCATCATTTTACGCGGAGTCGGTTAAACGGGACATTCCTTTGGTTCACTGTGTGTCTTTTAGGATCGTTGCATATCACCGGACCGGCGGAAAATGGGTAATGGGTCGGAAAACTTCCATTGGGATGCATTTCGAGCACGGGAAACGGCCAGTTACAGGTATTAGCTTTGGTCTTGCTTTCAGGTCTTGCTTTCACATCCCTAATCTCCCCTGAACTATTTTTCAAAACCAAGTAGCCTCAGCATACAATACAATATCACCATTTCGGCTCCATTCTGAGTTCCCCCCTTTTTGGATATCGAACCTCGAAGATCGTCCCTCTGTGCAACAAACAATCCCCAAAGTCCCCCCTAACTTTGGGGAAATTCACAGTGTGCACACTCCTCGGTGGTGAAGCCCACCTCACTGATCCCATGCCCACGTCCAGGCAGCTGCCAATCCCCGACGTCGACAGGCGCCACCAAAATGCAGCCCAAGCCAAGGAAAAAGAAATAGCCGCTGACGTAGCGTAATAATTGACAAGGGAAACACAGTAAACGGACAAAAAAAATCAAAAAAAACAGGGCACGTTTATCGTATGCCGAATGCACGAAGCTGATTGGTGAATCGTCATCACATCGGCTGTCACTCAAAAAGTAGGGGTCCTTTTTTAGCCCTGACCGTCGTTCCTACAACTTGGCTTCCCATCAACGAACGATAGACCCTGCGGATTCAGCCCTTTCAGCATGCACCCCTCCTCCCGGTATTCTCACTGGTGTGAAGTCGGCAACCCGCGCCATCATCCGGATGTCAAATTTCAATTGCCATATAAAGGCGGGTACCTGGCAGAGGCCCGAAGAAAAGCCAGCAGATTTCCAGGCATGCGGGATCCGGAAAGGCGTAACTTTTTGTCCAATGAGCTCCAGTCGTAAAGGAACGGGAGGTCCAAACGCCCCCGATCGATGGGACGGGGTCAGCCTTCCGGGTTGGGGGGTCACAGATCGCGGCGGGGGTTATTGGCTGGGGTGGATTTTAATGAAATTGGAGCTAGGTTGGGAGAGGTTTAGTTTGGATGAGGTGGTGGATGGTATGTAAGTTGTCGGGTCTTGGCTTTTTACGGTGGTGTGATGAGAGACGGAAAGGATCGTCGTTTTTCACCCTACGAACGGTGGGGACTGTTGAGGTACCTACTGGGCGCCTTACCGGTGTAAAAAGGGGCTGGCCAAGGGGGAAGGTTAGGTATCCTGCCAGATTTTTTTTTCCCTCTCGGTCTTTGTTTTTTTTTCAATCCCCAAAGAGTGAGACCAACGGCTGCAATGCAACGCGTCAACTGTGCAACCCAATTGTGCACTTTTGAGCTGTTAGGGGTAGGTAAAGAGAGACACTCCGCCGCCGCCCCTGTCTCAGCCACCCAGCTCGTCAACGCCGCAGGCGAGGAGTGGTAAAAAAAAAAAAAAAGGGCGTGGGGTTTCCCGTCAAGTTGGTCTGGGGCTTTTTTTGAGTAACGATCTTGCTGCTGACGTCAGTATCGTGTTTTACCTCTGGTCCCTGGATCGTCACTGGGCGTGGTGTTGGGCGGAAGATTCCAGTGCCAAGACCGGGAGGGTGAACTTCCGTTCTTAAAACAAACCTGCCCTGAACACAGACAGATTTTCGATTCACAGATTGCGGGGATTTCGGGTCTGAATCGTCTGAGTTTCTTTGGTTGCATGCTGGTCGCTCGGCTCTAACCGAGCGGAAGAAGCAATACTTGCATATATCACGAGTTCCCACCTTGGGTAGCCTTGGAATAGGAGATTGAATACGACGACACGGGGCTTGGATACGGACCTGGAGGCGTCAGGAGGACGATGTCGTCGGCATGTCGTGCCACCATCCATCACCTGCATTGCGGGTCAGCTCGGCTGGTGACACTTACACAACCGGTACCGGTACTGCGGCACCGGATCTTGGCCACTCCTTTTCTCGGGATTCGCAATGGCTGAGACGGTGGTCGGTTCGAGGAAGCCAGGCCAAGGTTCGTTGTGGTACGGTACTTTAGGGAAATATTTCTAGCGCGCCTATGTATGGATGTTATTGATCCTGGATGGCTCGGATTCCCGAGGGGTTTCGGATCTGGTGATGCACTGCAGCCCTATCGGCACTGAGAAGGGGATACTCAGGAAGGGGATACTCAGGATTGTCGGAGAGATTCGGGTTTTCGCCAGGAACATGGCTGCTTGTCATACATCGAGAATGACATCTTCCGTGTCGGGAAAGTGAGGCTCTGGTAGTGAGGGGATTCAACTGAATACAGTGACATGTTCCGTTCATTATACAGTCATTTTCTACTTACCACACCGCGTCGTGTCTGGCATGGAGACGACTGTTTTTCACCGTAGGCTTACCCCTCTTGCGTCTTCTTTTCAAGTATCTATTTTGATGGGGTTCAACTCGGACGAACTTAATTATCTCCTTGCCCTTCTCCTTGAATTTGCACTGTGCATCCCCAGCTCTCATCATGCATGTCTCCAAAATGCTTGTTTCATCACTGGCCCAAGCCCGAGCCGCGTGGCACGGCTATGCCCGAGGTCCGGTGTCGTGATGAAGCCTTGGCCCAGAAGCCAATGACGATGGATCGGATGAAAGTTCGACCATCTGTAGCGTGCCTGAGCAATGTGATTACTCGGGCATACTTCCCCCGCCTACTCTGAATCTGGAAAACAAATCCGTAGCTCCACATTCATGAATGCAACGCGTCCTTTTCAAGTTCCCAATGAAACCTCCCCCCCCTTCCCATCCCCCCAACGAGCACATTGCATATGCGAATCTGATCGGACATGAAACGACCCAGTCATTCCTCGAAGTTAATTCGACAGCATTTCAAGGCAGTTGTCGCCATCACTGGTGCCGAGACACTCCTGGGGGGACACAGCATGAGGTAGAGCGTCACCTGCGCCTTTGACTCCGTCCGGATACATCATCCCGCATCTCCGAGCCAGCCACAACCAGGAATTACCAACCATTAACATGCTGGTAAACTGAAGATTAGTGATCTGTAGATCTGAGTTATCGCTAACGTTGCTCGTGGCGTCTCATCCTCACCCCTCTATTCGAGGACAGAAAAGCCCCCTATGTCAGTCGGCACACTGAGACCCTGAACTGGCACTATCGGACCACTGTACTTATCTCCGACGGCGGCGACGTGTCTCAAGCCCCCGGCGGCAAAACGCCATTCTGCGAGGGCCGTATGAGCCGCTTCGTCCTAGCGTCATGCCGGCTTTGCCGGCTCAGTGAGCCCGGAAGTGA